ACAGAGGGCGCCAAGGCATTTTTCGTCACTCTGGGACAAAACGAAAACCACAGAAATCGTCCTTCGGAACATGCGTTAAAAGTGGAACAATATAGAGGGGTCAGGTTAACATGACCCCTCTGCAATTTTAACACAGAGGGGTCATGTTAACATGCGTCAAAATTGGAAAAGAGGGTCCATTTGTCAATGTATGTGTGTCATCCTTGCAGAGGGGTCATGTTAACATGAAAAAAAGAGGGGTCATGTTAACATGAACCCTCTGCAAGGCTGACATGCATACATTGAGAAATGGACCAAATGGTCCCATTTAAAAAAAAAAAAAAAGGAGGGATACGGTTCTTTGGGGGGAGAAAAGCAGCGAGCACAGGGGTGCTCAATGTTACTCACCTCCTCCTTCAGATCAGTTTCCCGAGTTATTTTATCAATTTGCAAAGCTTTGATTATCCTGGCATTTCCGTGCTGTTGCTTGACTGCTCCATTTGACGGCGGCATTGTTTCGTCTGTATTGCGGAAAACTCGCTCCAGGAAAAGCTGAATACTGTTCTCATCTGCTCCCTCACTATCAGCAAGTTACAGCACACCGAAATTTGACAGAGGATGGGGGGTGTCGGGGCAAGGGGGGTAGAAGAGGGGGAGGGGGTGGAGCAAGCAAAGACAGGAACCCCCCCCAAAAAAAACAAAAGAGGACTTGGAGTCAGTAGCAGAGGCCTTCCTTTCTCAGCAAGTGTATACCTCGCTTAATTCTCCGTGGAGTGTGCACCCAGGCAGCCCCAGTGCAAAATCTGAAAAAAAATGAAAAAAAACAAAATTCTGGAAAAATAAATGTTGTGTAGACTTGCAATGTAAACAACTTTAGCCTGAGGGTCATCTCAGAGTTCCTTGAACCCGCTTTCCAGTAGGTGATGTTCCCCACCAACAGATGGAGCCTCTCCCCCCCGGTGCTAGTAGTGACTGCTCTTACCAGCGCTACTAGAACAAAAGGGAGTGTGTTAAAAAAAAAATAAAAAAATCCTTGTTGAATCGAAGATAAGAAAAGAAAATATAAAAGAAACTGAGGCACCCCGGTCTAAGCCCCTCTAAGCCCCTCTAAGCCCCATTTATACCCTGCTTCAAAAATGAAAATGAGGCAACCTGGTTTTTTGTAGCATCTTGTTCACAATCGGTGACTGAACCCGAACGAGCGCCAAAACCTTCCGAACGCGAACATAAAAAAATATTAAATAAACCCAAGAGCCTAGCTCAGTGGGTACACCCGTGAACTGTTGAAATACAGACCCGAGTTCGAATCCAGATGATGGAACTTGATTGATGAGTAAACCCAAATATTTCTGAATTGCCTGGGGCCGATCAGCTCAATGATGATATCTCAAGGCCGTCGCCCTTTTAATATATATATATCGTCACAAACAGAATATATATATAATATATATACATATATATATACAGGGTTGCCGGCGTTCAGGACAGGCCGAACGCCCGAACGTTCGGCACCCCCTCTTGACGAGTTCGGCCGTTCGGCCAAACGCGGACCCAAAAAAAAAAAAAAAAAAAAATCCAAAAAATCTGAAAAAACAATATGTTATGCAGAAGAATAAACTGAACAACATTTGCCTCAACGTTACATCCAAATTCTTTACCAAATTTGAAATAAAAATCAAATACTAAAAATAAATAATAATAATGAAAATTAAAATAAAATAAAATGAGAATGAAAGTATTGAGTGGGCGAGCATGTTTTTGACACCGCCATCTTTGGCGATTTTTCATTTTTTTTTTGGCTGTGACAAATGCCATGAAAATTTATGTATGTGTATCTTACATAATAGAGAATCTACAAATAAAGTTTGAAAAAATAATAATTTTTTTCATGCCCCGAAATAACGGAAAAACAAAAAGTGAAAAGAGAGAAAAAACAAATTAGTGAGTGGGAAAGCAAGTTTTAACACCACCATCTTTGCCGATTTTCCATTTTTTTTCGGCTGAACAAAATGGCCTCAAAATTAAGGGGGAGATACCTTACATCACAAAGAACCCACAAAAAAAGAAATCAGAAAACAATAATAACATGTAGGTGCAAAAATATTTTCTTGCGGGGTCCGAACCCCTTCAGGTTTGGGCCCCGTACGGGAACCCGAACGCCCGAACGTTCGGGGGTCAGCTTAGGGGCCTCCGTACGTTCGGCCTGGCAACCCTGTATATTATATATATATTTAAAAAAAAAAGTTGTTCAAAAAATCTGAAAAAAAAATTAAAAATATATGTTATGTAAAATAATAATACAAACAACTTTTGCCTGGGAGGTATGCTCAAATTCATAACCAAACTCGAGCTAAAAATCAAAAACCATGGTTGTCAACCGGACGTCCGGATCGGGATCCAGACGGTCCAGTCTGGATGTCCTGATCCGGTGTCCGGTTTGAGGTGTCCGGTTGGGCCCCATTTTCAGAAAATTCAAAAAAAAAAATTGGGGTCCCCATGCAATTTTCCAATGCCTGGTGAACCCCCAAAAATTGTTGGTGCAGTTTTTGGTGGACCGTTGGGCCAACCGGACCGGCCCTGAAGGGCCTGTACTTGCAATCTTGGGTGAGCTTCAGCGGGCCAAGCGG